GATAATTAAAGTTCATTAATATGATGAATGCTTTACATTAAGAAATAATCAAGATATTTATGAAACCAAACATTTATTAGACTAGATAGATGGTTGAGATTAGATTGTATAGTTTGTATGAATGACATGGTTTGTATTTGAAACTCCCCCTCTCTCTCTCTCTCTCTTTCAAGGTGTGTGTGTGTGTGTGTATTGTATTAAAATCTCCTTATTTAACATAATTCTTTAACGACGGTTAGAGGGAGAGACCAAATTTTGAAGGGACGAAAAATATTATTTTGGACATCTTGTAATTTTAAAACCGTAGGAACAAAAACTACTATTTTCGACAAACCACATGGACCAAATTTGTAGTTTACTTCAAAAAAAATTGTAACAAATGTTGGTCAAATTGACCAAAAGTAAAACACATCAACAACCATAGTGAGTAAAACTGTAATTAGTTCAAAAAAAAGGACTAGAGTTGATAATGAGCACCAACTATAAGGGTCAAAAATGTAATTTACTCTAACAGTTATATATCAAAGCATAAACTTAAAAAGAACAAATATGAAGATTCACCTTCTTTTTTCCCAATTAATAAAACAATTAAAAGTTAAAGAAAACATAAAAAATAATGTTTGTGGATTTGTTACTAAAATTAGACCTTTTCCATTTTCCAAATTGACCCAAAAAAATTAGGTAATTCACGAACATTTTCCACACATAATCAACCATAGAGTTGACTACAAAAGTCCACGCTACAATGTTTGAGTTGATTGATTATTTAATACCCTACACTCCAATAAATATAAACACAGTAAATTTTATACAGAAACCTTAATTCAGGCAACTCGAAGAAAACCAAATAGAAAAAAAATTGAAACGATAAACAAATGAATTGACTTTTATACATTCAAAAGCTACAACGTTTGGACGTTTCTTAGAATATTGTCAAAGCAAATTGTGCAAACCCGTATGGGTAAAACGGTAATTTTGATATATAATATTTAAAAACATTTGCTATAAGGAAGAAATGTTTGGTAGGTTGGCATTGGTTTTGATGGGATTTAACCAACTTCTAAACTTGATCTCGTGTTTTTGGGTAGAAGGAATTGACATTTTGCATTCAATACCCAATTTAGACTTGCCGTGGTGTGTTTGGACAATAAAGCATGGAGGAAAGAAAGGGTAGATTAGTCAATTCACTTAAAGGTAATTACCAAAAATAGATGAAAATTAATGTTCAATAATATAACTTTAATTAATTTCATAAATTTATTTACTCTAATCGATGATTTTAATTAGCGTTAATATACGAGTTACCAACTTACTTTCATAAATTTTTTTATCATAATATTATACTTTCATTTTTTTCTTATTGCAACAATATATTTTTTAAATTATTTTTTAATCAGTTAAGATGATATGACACAAGTTACAAGGTTTCCACATCTCATCATCCATATAACATATTACATGACGCGACATTTCTCATTACAACATTGTACTTTCAAAAAACTTAACTTTACACATTATTCAATAAATATATTCAATTAATTAAAAGTTTAAATTATTTATTAGTATAGCAATATTAATAAAAGTTATAGATCATAATTTATATCGCTAACATTTAGATAAAAAAAAGTTAGAAAAAAATATTTTTTTAAACAACAAAAATAAGAATTATTATGTTCTTTTACAAAAAAAAAATCTTGAAAATTCTTGACATATTACTTAATAAATATACTGAATTAATTTTAAAAAATCTAAATTATTCATTATTATAACAATATTAAAAAGATTTATAAACATATTTTATGTCGCTAACATTTTTTAAAACAATATTAAAAGTATATATTTTTTGAATAATAAAAATAATGAGTATTAATTTTCTTACAAATAAAATATTTATCTTCAAAAAAATATATTACATTCGTTTAAAAATATGTTATCCTAAAATGTATAATTTGCATACAATTTAGTGAGATTGAAAATGAGGGAATTATTTAAAATGTTTTTATTAGGAAAATTAATTAAAATAGTCATTTTTGAGTAGAGCTTTCACCAATTATCCATTTCCCGAAAATTACCAAAATGTCACTAGCTCTGCAAGTGGTTGGTGCACAAGTTGCGAATGTAGTTAAATGACAAGTTTTTAGACTTCTTACCGAGGTCCGCAAGTGGCAGGTTCACAAATGCGGACCTGGTCCGTAACTTGAAAAAACTACAGTTTCTAACTAGGGACAAAAGGATTCAATTTACAAGTGGCAGCTTCACAATTGCGGACGAGGGACAATGATAGAATTTAATTAAAAAAATATGTTATTACTCTAAATTACAATACACTAAATATAGGGACACAATTGCATCCCATTTATAAAAGTAATCATGTATGATCACGAAGAACAGGTTTGTAAGTTGTGGATTTGTCCGTAATTTGAGGACCTATTCTTCATGGCAGTCTGTGTTTTCTTTTATGAATGGTTTAAAACACAGATTCATGTATCAAAATAATAGGGAACAAATATGTGATTATAAACTATACCATAACATGTAATTGAACTATAAAATAATCTAACATAGTTAAAGAAATCAGTTAAATTGACATGGGATAGAAAAAACTTACTTCACCAGCCATTAGATCGACTTGCGAAGTCGTTGACGTGGAAGATCGACTTGCGGAGAGAAATTTAAGGGGGGGGGGAGGGTAACCCCACCTGCCGATTTAATGTTGGTAGGTGGGGTTGTAATTGTGGACCGAATACATACGCTCCTTTCCAAGATATTCCATGAGGTTTTCATCCTCGGCTAACAAGTGACACCTCCGTTAATTGATAGACCTGGGTCTAAACTGTAAATTTTTCTAAAGTCACGGCCTAGGTCTACAATTACGGACGTGCCACTTGAAGACCTGGTTAAGAATGTGTTAATATTTTTTGTCATTTAGATACCTCCGAGAAATAGCTAAGAGGTTAAATTACTCTCCAAAAATGACTATTTTAATTAATTTTCCTTTTTTATGCTATGTAATCAAATCGACGTGTCATCCACGTCACCTCTTAAACCATGTAAGCAAAAAAAGGGGGTTAACTTATTTAAAATAGGGTGTGCGAAACCAAATGGTCTGGAATAAGAACTTGAACCGAACATAAGGTATTTATGCAAAACCCGATTGTCTTGAAATCCGAAAATCCAAAAACCGACTTTTGAGGGGAAATTTAGATTCGGATTGGGTTTGATTTTGGTCGCTTGATCCGTCTAAAAGCCCGAACTATATATACATGTATAATTTAAATACGATATAAATACATTTATTTATCTAATTATATTTTGAAAATTCTTAAAATCTTAGTCACTCATGCTCTTTTCAAATTTCAAAACATACTATTAATTTATCGATCATCTAAATCAATTGAATTCATCATCAAAATCGATTGAATATATATATATATATATATATATATTTGCATTATAACTAAACCCGGAACCCGACCGACCTCAACCCGAAACACAAACCTAAAGTAATCCGAAATCCAAAACCCAAAAACCAGGGTTTGATTTCAATATCCAAAATTCACTTGGTTTTTTAGTTTGCCACCCCAACCCTACTGATGCACACCCTAGTTTAAAAGATAACAAATTATCCGTTGTTATAACATATAGTTTTTTAAATTACAATGTCTTAATAAAAATTAAAATACATTGCTTTAATAAGAAACAATAAAAGTACATTACATAAGTAGTTAATGCATTTATCCATTTTAATTATATTTGGTTTTATATCATTTTAATTTTTGATAAACCTATTTGGTCTTTAGGCTATGCGTTTAAGTTTCGATTTTCTTCATAAAGTATTAATTAATAGAATTAATTAGCACATGCGAAAACAATTGTTATTATTCAGAAATAGTAATCATTTAGCCACAACATAAAACGTCCATGGAATACGTAGATAAATATTAAATTCAAAACCATATTTATAATTAATTAATCATCTTCAATTTAAAAATCTGCTGTCTTCATAGTATAAAAAATATTTCGTTTTTGTTGTCTCATCTGAATAGGAGAGAATATATTTGATTTTTTTAATATGATTAACTACATATATATTATTCAATATTTACATATATAAGTGGAAAGAAATTAAATGAGAATCATATAAACGTTAAGAACCCCAAACATCAATCATACTCATTTATTGACTTACAACAAGGAATCATGTAATTAAACCCCTTTTAAGTAATCCATTAACTTTTGGATTTTTTTTTATTAACCTCGATATTCAACCCGCTATGCGAGCCGACTAATCCCATGACGACCACCTGCTTTGCTGATAGCCCGAAGTCACCGCATTTGAATCTCCGTGGCTACAATCGGATTTTTATTTCTCATTGGATTTGAACCCGAGACCTCCTCGTACTTTTGATCTTTGGAGCCAAGCTCAAACCAACCAGACACCACCCTTGTAGTTAAACTTTTGGAAATTTTTATAACCCACTTTAATAGCGCTTCGACTTAATGTGTTATATATATATATATATACATATATATATATATATAAATGAAATGATAAAAGTACATATATAAATTAATATTCAGATTGAGGTTTTTTTTTTCCTTTCTACTTTAGAAATATACCAAAAAAGTAAAAACAAATAGTGTTCCATAATTGCATTGTCCCTCAAGTAATTGTTAGCGTTTAACCACCTTACATTCTAACTCCATACCCTCATCATGGATCACATTCTTTTAACTAATAAAGCCATCATTTCGTTTTTCTTGTGTCAAAACCACGCCCATCTCTCTCTCTCTCTCTCTCTCTCACTCTCTCTCTCTCTCTCATATATATATATATACTTACATATATGTATATATATTTTCTCTCTCTCTCCTAAAAGGATCTATATATATACGCCTATGACAACATAGAATTTTCAGTTCATAGCTTCGATCCTTGTCTTCTCCCTCTCTCTCTCTCTCTCTCTCTAAAAGTAGTAGTGGCTAACTTGAACCCAAAAATGCATCTACATAAGCACTTGATGGTACTACTAGTAATCTTGGGGTCAACTATCTCTTGTTCTTCTTACATCAACCATCATCATCCAGCCTTTAATCAAGTACTTCCTGCACCACCAAGAACCCTCTTAGCACAAGACCAGCCTCAACCACAGCAATTCAATGTGGATGACTATGGAGCCACGGCTAACGGCACCGACGATTCTCAGGTTTACTTTTTTTTTGACCAACAAAACACATGAAACATGTATTGTCTATATGCTTTGGCATGTTTCCACAATATATATATATATATATATATATATATATTAATATATTAACTTTTAACTTTAATTGTAGGCATTTATGGAAGCATGGAGGAATGCTTGTAATTCTTCCAATGGGACTGAGTTTGTGGTTCCTGAGAACAAAGTGTATCATCTTAAACCAATCACATTTTCTGGTCCCTGTAACCCTAATTTAAGAGTCAAGGTAATTACTATTATTATTTATGAAAACCATATAAATTCATGATTGTCACATTTATAAATCTATTTTCTAAGAACTTGAACACGGTGTTTAAACGATCAATTAAAGAAATGAACACATTGTTGTCATCAAACAATATAAATTCGAGTCACACGAACTGTGATGTAACAAAACCTTGTCGAATTTAAGCTCAAGTTTGTTAGTGACCTAATTAAGTGCAAGTCCATGCCGATTCGATGACACCCATATGTTTTTTATTCGATATTTGCTTAAATTAATTGGCTATATATATCTATATATGTATGTATAGGTTTATGGGACAATCAAAGCTTCTTCTCATCGATCCGACTACGATGAAGATAGAAGACATTGGATTACATTTGAAGATCTTGATAACTTTTTTGTTGAAGGGGGAGGAACCATTAACGGAAATGGAAGAATTTGGTGGATAAAATCTTGCAAAGTTGACGACACTCAAGTACATATATGCAACTTTATTTTCACTTTCCACCTCTATTTTTTATTTATTTATTTTGCCTTTTAATTAGTTAAACAATTAATTAATGGTACGAATATTCTTAGAAGTCCATCATTTTTTTAATTAAATTACCTATTTTTATAATTAATAATCAATTATATATATATATATATATATATGAGTTATTATGCAACCCTTTATATTTTTATATATAGCAATATTATCTTGACTAACTATTTTCTGTTTCTTTTTTTTTGAATTATCAAATTTGATTGCAGCCTTGCATAGGTGCACCAACGGTACGTTCGGTATCTCTCAATATATCCTTTTCTTACGTATTTATATATACTACAACAAAATCGGATTTATGAGATACTCTGAATTTCTAAGCGTGCTAATAGATCTCTTTATAAATTATTTAGTTACTCTTTTTTAGTCTGAAAATGTTTTTTTTTAATTGCAGGCATTAACTTTCAGGAATTGCAAGAATTTGAGACTAAATAATATAAGGATTAAAAATCCTCAACAAATCCATTTAACCATCCAAAATTCAACGAACGTGATAGCTTCAAATTTGAGGGTGATTGCGCCGGCTAACAGTCCCAATACTGATGGCTTTCATATATCTGGTTCCAAAAACGTTCAGATCATGGATTCTATCGCGAGAACGGGTACATTTTAATAAGTCGCATAAGATCGTTCAATTATTCTTATAAACATTTTCATGTTTCAACAGACATACGGTCGTTTGATATATGAATTTTCTAATAAACATATACATATGCAGGTGACGATTGTGTTTCAATCGTAAACGGATCAAGTAATGTCGTAATCAGAAAAATAGTATGTGGTCCGGGTCATGGAATCAGGTCAAACATTCAAACAAGATTGATTTTCTAGAATGATTTAATTTCAGCAATTATGGAAATTAATAAGTTCGTTGATACGTAATTTTTCAGTATTGGAAGCTTGGGAAAAAACAATTCAGAGGATTTCGTGTCAAATGTGTTGGTAGATAAAGTCGTACTTACAAATACCACAAATGGAGTCAGAATTAAAAGTTGGCAGGTAAATCCCAATATTCAACAATTCGTTTTTAAAGAGAATATAATAAACGCTTTTAAAATGATATGGAAATGCAAGCGGTAATATGAAAAACATGGATATTTAATTATAACGATGGTATTAACGACTTGTTATATAAATAATTAATTAATATTGGTACAGGGAGGATCAGGATATGCTAAAAACATCAAATTTCAAAACATCATAATGCGTAATGTCACTAATCCAATCATAGTGGACCAGAACTACTGTGATCGCAAAGAAGCATGTCCAGAACAGGTAATTACTCAGCCTGTACCACATTTTTATTCCATTCATGTGATTTTATCGTAGGGTTTTTTTAACCTTTTCTTTTGTTTTGGTTAATTGGCAGGACTCAGCGGTACAAATGCAAAATGTGGTCTATAGGAACATAAGAGGAACAAGTAATTCAGAGGTAGCCATAAATTTTGACTGCAGCAAGACGTTCCCTTGTCGAACGATTTTGTTAGACAATATAGTTCTCAATCGTGAAGGGGATGAAGGAGACACGAAAGCATCATGTTCAAATGTCATGTTAGCGACCCGAGGGGAAGTTGCACCAAATTGTGAATGACTCAAAGCAAAAAAACAACCTTAGAAAAGGAATACAATAGGAAGACTTGTAAATTCTTAGAGTTTGAATTTATACATGACTCCGATAGATATATTGACCTTCTATTAGTTTTAATACTCGTGTCAAATAATTTATAGATGTTTCAAATATGTTTCTATATTCCAACCTACCTATCTACATACATGCATGCATGCATGCATACATGCATACATACATGCATACATGCATACATGCATACATGCATACATACATACATACATGCATACATACATACATACATACATACATGCATACATACATACATACGTACGTACGTACATACATACATACATACATACATACATACATACATACATACATACATACATACTTACATACATACATACATACATACATACATACATACATATATACATACATACATACATACATACGCAATTGGTGTAATTTTTAACTGAAAATGATGAAAAGTCCCCTAATTTATATTTGTTTGATGATCATAATTTAAAAATGCAAGTTTGAAGTACTTGATGGGGATGGGGATGGGGGTGGCCGGCATGTAATTTATAAATAATCAACATACGAATTTGAAATTTACACCAGAAAACAAAATTTTAATTAAGTGTGTAATTTAATAAAAACCCTTTGGATTTCACATATTTTTCATTCAATCATTTTAAATTTAAAATGTAATTAATGGGGGTAATTGTTATTTATTTATTGGTCTCTCTGTTCTAAAATAAATGTACACAATGAAAATGACATACAATTTTAGGAATGTGTAATTGTTTTTACCCTTGATAATAGAGATAAAAACTTTCCCCACATAATAATTAAAGATAAAATTGAAAAATGAAAACTTACTTTTGAAAGTGGATACTTATTTTCAAACAAACTAAAATAGAAATATGAACACTTAATTTGTGACGTACATATAAACGTTACTTAGTATAAATAACAACAATTTGATAATTATACAATCTTATATATATATATATATATATATAGAGAGAGAGAGAGAGAGAGAGAGATCTAGAGAGAGAGAGAGAGAGAGAGAGAGTTTGGTTCAAATGTTAACCTAAACTATTGTGTTAATTTTGTTAACCATTTTCAACCAATCATAATCCATCTTACTATTAGATTCCTATCCATCTTAGAATTTAATGACAAGGGTATATATGTAATTTTTGTATGTAACTTCTATATCATTAATTGGAAGTTACAAAATCATAAAATCCCATGATTTGTGTTAACTTATTATTAATCTTGTTATTTTTTTAATATTGATTTTCTATCTCTAATGTTTATGAATTTGTGATTGGTGGAGGAGACCCGGTAGTAAAGTTTTCGGTATCGTTCAAATTGACATATACGAAAGATGATAAACATGTGTAACCATAAGAACACCAATTCACATATGAGAACATTAGTACAACCATATACACACAACTCGACATATATGAACCATTGTGTCAATTACGAACACAAATTGACATATATAAACACTTGTGTCAATTATGAAGACAAATTGACCTATATGTACAGTTGATATAAATATGAACACATATTGACACAAATGAACATATGAAAGATGATGAACATGTGTGACCATATGAACACAAATTCATATATATGAACATTCGTACAACCATATGAACACAACTCGATACATATGAACCCTTGTGTCAATTACGAACACAAATTGACATATATGAACCCTTGTGTTAATTACGAACACATATTGACATATATGTACATTTGATATAAATATGAACACATATTGACACAAATGAACATACGAAAGATGATGAACATGCGTGACCATATATGAACACTAATTCACATATATGAACATTCGTAAAACCATATGAACACAACTTGACATATATGAAACCTTTATGCCAATTACGAATACAAGTTGACATATATGAACCCTTGTGTCAATTACGAACACAGATTAACATATATGTACAGTTGGTATAAATATGAACACATAGTGACACAAATGAACATACAAAAGATGATGAACATATGTGACCATATGAACACAAATTCACATATATGAACATTCGTACAACCATATGAACACAACTCAACTCAACATATATGAACCCTTGTGTCAATTACGAACATAAAGTGACATATATAAACCCTTGTGTCAAATACAAATTGACATATATGCACACTTGTGTCGTTTACGACTTTTTATTTTTCATATACACCCTTGTTCACACATGAACAATTTTCATAAACATCGATACTTGTTCACATATGAACCATTAATAAAAAAAACTGTAGAAGAATATGGTGTCGGGGATCTTGTTGTTGGTTTTGATTTAATGACGAGATTAATTCCCGGATAGTTACATTGTTATTAATGGGCAATTACAAAACATCACATTGTCATTAATGAACAACTACAATCTTTTCTCAAAATACCCTTGTAAATATTGTTCATTTATGTTACTTTGTCTATGCGTGCAATTAATTACACTTAATGTTATGAATGATCTTCGCCACAAATTTCAAAGATCAATGACCAAGATTATTTAACAAAGTTAACAGAATAAACTTGGTTAACATTTGAACCAACATATATATATATATGTATATATATATATGTATATATACATATATGTATATATATGTATATGTATATATACATATATGTATATATATGTATATGTATATATATATATGTATATACATGTATATNATATATATGTATATGTATATATATATATGTATATACATGTATATATATATATGTATATATATATATGTATATATATATTATATATATATATATATACATATATATATATATATATTGTATATATATATATATGTATATATATATATATATATAAGGGAGGTTCAGGGAAAACATGAAAAAATTGAAAAAACTGAGAAACACTCGGTAACTAAGGGTGTAAATGAGACGAGACAACTCGCGAGCTACTCGAGATTGACTCGGTCAACACTTGGTCAACACTCGACTCAAATAGACTCGACTCGAAATCGAGCTCAACTCAACATACTAATGAGTTGATCCGAGCTATCTGATACTCGACTCGGCAAGCTCGCGAGATACTCAAATATATATATTTTTATAATTAATTTTATAATATAGTTTATAAAACATACAATATAAAAAACTAATAACAATTAATTAATATTATAATATAATTTATAATATTTTTTTATATAATTAAATTTGTTATATATTAGCATCTTACCCTTTTTCAACTTAGATTAGGTTTTTTGGACAGCTTGGTCGCACACGGCATAGTAGAAGGCAGTGCACCCTCGTATCCTCTCCCTCCCTTATCGCTCCCGCCTGCCGCTTCCCAGTCTCGGCCCTCACCGGTGTCATCGCTCCCCACCCAACCCCTAGTCCCAGCTCTGTCACTTCTCCTCTGTCATTACTCGTCCTTCCTCCCTCCTCAGCCAATCGTCGCATCGTACCTCCTTGGCTCCTCCCTCCACATCCGCGAAGGTACAAGGTCTCAATCTTTTGAAAATAAATGTTCTGTTAAAAAGGAGATGATACACTTTCTTCATAGAATTAATGTAGTGTGTGTAATTTGATTCCTTGTTTGATTTCTGTTTTTGGTTCCAAACGAAAACATTGATTGATATTAATGGTGTTGGTTGGTTTGGTAAAAACGTTGATTGATATAAAGCAGAATGAAAGAAAATCAGACGCTAGTGATGAGGAGCGCGATCCTCATCTCCACCTTTTGCCTTTTGCGCAGCAGCTCTTATCTAACGCTGCTCCTCGTTGTATTACTATATATTCACAAAATCAATGACTATAAAGCTAAAATTATACTATCAGGTTCACATGATCATTTCACCTCTCTCCCTACCTCCCTCTATCTAAATTTATTTACAAGCTAAACCAAAAATCTGAATACACATTTTCCCTTTCTTAAGGAATCCAATGAGGTAAAATTCCCTGAGAGGAATTCTTAACCACTTCAAGCAGCCCATAATATAGTTCTGTATGAACATTGCAGTGGGTATAACAAACTTTGTGACATACATATATGTTTTAGAAGGAAAGCAGAAGAAAAGGAACCTAATCATAAAGACTTATCAACCACTTTACCACTTCCATGAACAACATGCTAATAATTTATCCCTCTATCCTACAAGAATTCCAACAGCTTTTTGCTGTAAAATGTTAATCTACCTGTAATAGAAAGGAAAGTTTACCTGGAGTGTTAATCTCTTTAAACAGCTTCTTGCTGTAAAATGTTAGAAATATCTGATACTCGTTCTATATGCCTATTGTTCTTCTTTCTTTTAAAAGCCATGTCTATTACTAAGTGTGATAGACTGATGGTCATGAAGATGATTAATGAAGTTAAATTTAATTGATCATGAATCATGATGTTGACTGTTTTTTGGTTACTTGGATAAGGATCTGTGCCATGTTTATTACCCTAACTCTATTAAATCCTCTTTGTTTAACAAAGTATTTTAATGGGCGTTTACCAAACATTTACAATTTTTGAGATGTCTAGTGGACCATAAGTATCTTCCACGACAGTTGGTGTTTCAAACGAAGATTTGCATGTGAATGTTGATGAAGGAGGATCAAATGAAGGGGAGAACGTGTCCATGGAGGTCAATGAAGAGCCTTGTGAACCCCCCTTAACACCACAAATAAAGAAGCTGAGACTGATAATAACCCTTTTGATAACTCTAAAAGACCAAGAAGATCAAAAGTATGGGATGAATTTTTTGATCCTGAAATGATAAAAAATCAATGGAAAGTAAGGTGCAAGTATTGTAAAACTCCCCTTTCTCTTAAGAGCACTATCCATATGCACCGACATTATCTTGTGTTATGAAAGCAAAACATGTGAGACAACAAAAATTGATTAATTTTTGCCATCTGATTCAAGCACTGGTACAAATCAATCAGGATTTGTTAGTGCTTTACATAATGGTAAACTTGACATGTTAAATATACGAGTGGGGATAACCCATTGGATCATTA